TTCAAGTCTTATTCGTTTACAATCTGATACAGATCGACTTTTACATACGATTGAAAAAGCACCAGATGTAAAAAAAAAACAAATGAAAAAAAAACTATTTTAATCATTATTTTCTGTATTATAGAGTGCAGAAACACTTATTTCAGAAATTGATTCAACATTTTCAGCTTTACAATATCTTGGAGGTGATTTAAAAAAATCCTTAGATATATCAAGTTCATCAGATATTGATCGAGAATTAAAAGATATGGCTAGTCCAGTAGAAACTATTCGAGATAGTCTTGATCGAGCAAAAAGATCTTATGAAGTAGATTTTGAAAAATCTTTTTTTTGTTTTGAAAATAAAATATTTAAAAATTTTCTATTTAGGAAAATGAAACTATTCGAGATCGTATTGAAAAAATATTAAATAAAGTCAAAACTTTTACAAATCGTAAACGACAAGAATTACATTAAAGTATCGACAGTGGTTATCGTAGTATCGATTTAACTAGACGATCAATAGACATGAAAGTATATGATTGTATTGTTTAACAAACAATTCGAAACGTTTTTTTTTTTTTCGTTAAAATTATCTAGAAAAGTTTTTTAAACATTACTTTTTCCCAAGATGAAAAAACAGCAGGTATCAATTTCGGATGGTTTCGCTGTAAGAAAATATTCAACTAATTTCATTTCTTCTATAATTTGCATATTCTGTTTTAACAAAATATTGTTTGCAATAGAGCCCGCCGCAACTCGATCAGCTCTAATTTGCAACATATAGAACATATTTTAATTCTTTCTTTTTTTTTTAAGAGTTTTATCAAAGATGTTGATTTGGAAACATCACATTTATCTCAAGTGAATGATTTAATATTAACATTAACTGAAAGAAAATGTCATCAACAAATAATTCGTTCATTAGAAAAAAAACAAGAAGATATTTTACAAGATCTTCTAAAATCTTTTGTTCTATTAATTTTTTTTTATTATTTAAATCTTAGTTTAAAAAATGAAACAACAAAAACAATTGAAAATCTTGATCAAAAAGTTCAAGAACAAGAAAAATTACGTCAAAATGCTTGTACAATGTTATCAATAATTCAACGTACGAAAGTTCAACTTATTGAATTACGTCCAACAATAAATGATGAAACTGATCAAAAACTTAAAGTTTGTTTTTTTGTTTTTTGAAATTCAAAATCAATTCTTCTTTTTTTTTTT